TCTATTGCACGAAGAAAAAAGAAAGGTAGGAGGAAAAAAAAATGATAAAAAATTTCAAATTCATATTTCAGTATGGTTTCAAATGTTAATGAGGAAGAATGTATGATTTTTTATGCACATTTTGTATTTCCGAATAAGGTAAGTTGAGTAGTGTTGGCTAACAAAAATGTTAACAAAAGTAATATAGGTTGACACATTTCAACAATTTGAATTATCTCATTTCGGTTATTTATACGTTACTTGTAAAATTGTTTCAAATAATTTCAGTTAGTTTTTAAGTTATTAAAAATAAATATGTATGTACCTACTTCCAATAAATTTTTTTTTAAATAATTATTTTAAAACTATTTCAAACATGTTATATTGAGTGCTTCAAAAATTTTGCTGTGCTCTTTTTTCATATTTTATTAGCAGGTAAACAAAAGTAATCTATTTATAAAATGTCCCTGCATGTGTATTTATGAACTATTTTAATTCTAAACGGAAAGAATTTTAAAATACCTGAACAAAAATTTTAAAATACCTCTTATTTTACAGTCGGAATTTTTGAGTCATTTGTTAAAATACAATTTTTTTCAAAAATAGAAAAATATTTAAATCCGGTCATAAAAATATATGATTGTTTTTTCCAAAACCTTTTAAATATTTTTTTTTCATAGATTGTATTTTAGATATTATTTTCTAATTCCCTCTTCAAATTTTTTCTTTACTATGTATTTATATCAATATTTAAGAATTATCTTTCATTAATTATATTTTCAACTTGACACCGCAGTTACTCCCCATATCTTGAGTTAACTTACCTATGAGAAAAAAAAGCTGTTCACTTTAAAATAATGAAATGCTTTCAGTAACATACAAAACGTTGAAGGCGAAGGTTGTGCTTGTTGTTTTTCCGCTTTTTTTAAAATTTTAAAATAATTATCAATGAAAATATTAATATATTTTTTTGATTTTTCAAATATATTTTCCAAATTTTACCTGCTTTATAATAAGTGTGAATTTATTTAAATATTTCTTCTCAAAAAATAGCCACTTCGATTTAAAAAAAACCCATATAAAATAAGGTCGTGCTTTCAAGTTTCTCTCTGGGCATTGGGACTTGTTAGATATAAAGACATTAGTAAAGACATTATTTAAAATATTAAAATCTTTTTTACGTAAAAAAAAAAAGAAAAAAATAATAAAAAATATGACACGATCAGTGGCATTTAAAGAAAAAACCAGCAACGAAGCCAAAATTTCGTAATATTTCGTAAAAAAAATTGAGTATTGGGACTTGTTAGATATAAAGACATTAAATAAAATAATAAGAAATATGACACGGTCAGTAGCATTTAAAGAAAAAAACAGAAACGAAGCCAAAAACTCGTAATATTTCATAAAAAAAATTGAGTATTGGGACTTGTTAGATGTAAAGACATTACAAATTTCATATCGTTCAAATCGTCGTTTCGCTGTTTAATTACAGTTTAAGTGTAAGTAAGATAATAATATAAATTCTTGTAATTTTATGAAAGAAATCCGAAAGGATAAATAATTGTAATGTAATAAAAATATCAAAACCATTTTTGTGACTTGAAAATAAGAAATTGTGAAATAATATTGTAATGTTAATTTTACGAATTAATTCTATAAAATTTAATAAAGATTGAAATAAAGGAAACAAAAATAAAAAACTGCTTTGAATAAAAGAAAAAAAAATAATTTTTTTTGTGTTCTGACTAAAGATAAAATTTAATTTGCACGGTTTTGATTTTCAATAGATTTTTTCCTTTTTCCACTTGTTATATTTTTTGTAAGTTTTTATTAAATAAGTTTCTTTTTTAAGAACTTATTACTAAATATTTTATGGCTTTTTATTGACAAACTGATAAATATTGACTGAACTGATAATTTTATTTTATTTATAAATAAATAAAAAAATCTTTGTTTATTTTTTATACAAGCGCGATATACATATGTATGTACTTTTCCAAGAAAAAAAACAACAACATTTAGCATTTAATGTTGATTTCAGTTTTACAATACTTCGAGCAAAGAAAGAGACTTACCTGAAGTTTTTGACTTCACTATGTTTTTTTTCGAGATACGATTTTTTAGGGAGTGAAGGTAAGATAGAAACAAAATGCTCCTTCCTTCAGTTTCTTTCTAATTCGTCATTTCTTATTCGTTGGTTTTTCGGAACGAATTAGAAAAGGAAAGAGCATTTTGAAAAAACAATGAAACCAAATTCTTTCTAGTTGCATCTTTCCTTACTTCAAGCATGCCACTCTTTCCATATTTTTCCTTTCCAAAATTAACAACATAATAATTTTACAATATATGAAACCTAACACTATTTAATAAATTTTTCTTTTAATTATTAAAATATTCTTTATACACATATTGTGGGAAACTTTCACTTGTTGTTTCAAATCGAAACAACAATTTGGAAAGAACAACCCTTTTACTTTTTTCCAAAAAAAAAATTTTTTTGGAGTTTTTATGAGTTTTTATAAAACAATAGAGTTTAAAAAAAACTCTATCAAAAAAACTTTTTTGTGTTTTTGTTTTTCTAATCATCTGCAATTAATTACGCATATTAAAAAAAATAAAATCTTAATACTTTCTTTGTAAACTCTTTACGTCAGCGTCGCTTACTTTTCCAAGAAAAAACAAAAATTTGGCATTAAAATTCCAATTTCAATTTGACGACACTCTGCAGGAGAAACCTGTAGTTGTTGACTTCACTGTATTTTTTAATACAGTGAAGTATTGTAATAGAGCATAGAAATATAATATTCTTGAATTCCTTACTTATCACAGCAAAACTTTTTGATGACAAAGATTTCTTTTGCTGTGAAATATTCTTGGAAAACCTTAAAACTGGCATTCAGTTGATTTTTTAATTGTGGGCGAAGAACATCTTTTGTATTGCTAGTCCTTTTTTTATAAGTCTTTTAATAACAATCTTAGTAGACTCTGATTCCGCCTTAGTAGACTTTAATTCCGTCCAAACCTATACATTGATGTATAGCGATGCTAGATGAGATTGACTGGAAATCTTTATTTTCCTTTTAATAGGGATATATGAAGTGAATGGAATTTGCATTTTTCGTAGAAAAACTATAAGATAGAGGAGAGTTATATGGGTTAGCTTTTAGATCTTATTGTAGCGTACCGAAAAAAAAAACACCAAGGCACAGATTACATTCATTGTAAGACCGACAATAAAGGGCAATCAATTTCCCGTAAAACAAGCCCTCGATAGTTTCTCTATGTCGCATGGTTCTGAAGTTATAAGGTTTTATTTATACGAAAGAAAAATCTGGTACTTTTTCTTCAATAAGCTGTTACTCGAGAACGAGTATATCTGCACTCCCACCCATTCAATTTTGTTGGAAATAGATCGAAGAATCATCCCTGAAATTATTTTCCTTCTAATGGGAAACACCCTGTATTATGGGAATTATTCGAAGTATAAAACTAAATAAAAGAGGCTGTATATTTAACCCAGCATTTACACGTACAAGTTACTTGCAAGAAAGTTGCAATACATACAAAAATTTTACTAACACATTGAAATATTTCTACTTGCTTGTTTACTTGCAGTTCAACTTGCAAGAAAATTTTGCTGCCAGTAATTTGAGCAAGTAATTTGACATATTGAGAAATTCACACAAAAAAATTTGTTGTTTTGATTTTTTTTTTTTTTTAATTTAAAATTTTTGAATTTTGTTTTGAAAAAATTAAACTTAGCAAACTTATGGTTTCTAAAATTTATAAACAATTATATATATTGCTAGTTGTTTTCTTCTCAAAGACATTTTCAAAAATTAACTTGCTAAACGCCTACGTCATAATAGCAAGTAATTTGACATTTCGAAAAACTAATTGACAATTAATATTATACAAACTTGCATGCAAGTAACTTGTATGTGTAAATGCTGGGTTAATCAAATTAGGTAAAAAGAACATATATAATATGTAGTACATATAACCAGTGTTCCCACTCGGTAAAAACAAAATGAAGTTACTTGCATGCAAGTTTGTATAATATTAATTGTCGATTAGTTTTTCGAAATGTCAAATTACTTGCTATTATGACGTAGGCGTTTAGCAAGTTAATTTTTGAAAATGTCTTTGAGAAGAAAACAACTAGCAAAATATATAATTGTTTATAAATTTTAGAAACCATAAGTTTGCTAAGTTTAATTTTTTCAAAACAAAATTCAAAAATTTTAAATTAAAAAAAAACAAAAATCAAAGCAACAAATTTTTTTTTTGTGAATTTCTCAATATGTCAAATTACTTGCTCAAATTACTGGCAGCAAAATTTTCTTGCAAGTTGAACTGCAAGTAAACAAGCAAGTAGAAATATTTCAATGTGTTAGTAAAATTTTTGTATGTATTGCAACTTTCTTGCAAGTAACTTGTACGTGTAAATGCTGGGTTAGTCGTCCTATTTTGTACAAATAAACTCATAATTAATATTAATTTTGCTTTATTCAACAATGTAAATTTTATCATATATGGTAAATTCTTTATGAAATCACATGCAGCTTCTATTGCATTTTAAATGTGAAAGTTAATGTCAAAAATTATATACTCTGTAGCTGTTGATCGCATTATGCGCTAAAGACGATTCACCATGAAAACGGACAAATTTTAAAAAAGATGTACAGCCAATGTATTTTCTGTTTCACTTAGCTTACTCATTAATTAAAGTTGATTACAGGCGGTACTCATTTAATAAAGTATCTTTCTTACTTTCTTCTAACAAATTTGGAAATGTGCTTAGTAAAGCTATCAACACATTTTTTTGAATACAAAGCAATTCCGCAATTTAATATTAGCAGCACTTTAAGTTTTGTAATGTTTATTTAGTGTTTGACAAAGAAATATGTCCATATTTCAGTAAAATTTTCAAATGTACCCAATTTCGGCATTTTTGCAGATTTGAGTTTTTTTGTATTCACGCTAAATTTAAACCAAAAATGTATCCAAATAGATACAATTTTACCCAAGTGGAAACTCTGCATATAACATATGTATGAATACTGTACATATTCAATATAAATACATTAGACTTTAAAATATTAAATTAACAAATTAATTATTTTAAAAATTTACAATCAAAAGTCGTGAGCGTAAAAAATCTAACGACAATCTTCCCAAAGTACCAAAAATCTGGAAATTCTAGATAAATCGGGTAATTTAACATCCCTGATTGTGTGTTTAGATTATGCTGGGATTTAGCATTTAATCTAAATGTCAATGCATGCTGTATAATATATAGCGAGATCAAAAATACTTTTGTAATGTATTTAAATTCAAAGTTGGTAGTACAACAATATTTTTGGGGGTGGGTTTTATATATTTTATTGTATGTTGAAACAGCTTTTTTCCACGAATTTAAAGTTAAGCCAATCGTTTATATAGAGCTAAGTTCACATGGATTTCATAGGTAAAAAGCACAATTAATTTCTAGAATAAAATGTGAATTGAGATTTGTCTTTTACAGAAATCTAGCTTATTTCATTGAATTTGAGCACCTAGTTGGAAAGCAATGTGAATATGCAATAGGTACATATGTATATTAGGATAACTCTAAATTTAAAATTTTGAAAATAAAATATTTTGGTAATTGTTTTAGAACAAAAATTTTCTTCAGATGTTTATGTAAATGTGGATCAATTAAGCTGCATGGTTCGCCAAAAAAAGGTTTAAGTTTAAAAAAAAAAACCTATTGTAGTATACATATTTTAGTTTTGTATTTAGTTGGTTGCATTATATCCTTCCTACATTAATGAAGAAGTATCAAGCGGAAAGTCATTACCGTTTTCTGTTCTATTATTCGGTACACCAAAACTTTTTGACAGTGTAATACTACCTATTCACTTCAGGTATCAAATAGCTCGCAAAACAAAGTATGTACATATGGGCATATACATACATATGTATGTATAAAACAAGTTATGATTTATCAATTTCTTTATTTGCAGTTTTGTGAAAGTCGAAATTCAAAAGCCATCATTATATATTAAGTGTCAAGTTCAAAATGACAAAACGATTAAGATTTCTCAAAGTAACCACAAATTTTGTATTAGGAACACGGAATTTGTTCCAGACAGATTTGTATCGGATGAGATTTGTGATTGGCATTTGTTAGATTATGAATTGCATTTAAGAGACGCTTTGGTTGTTAGTGTTCCAGTAGGTGACTCAAATTTACTTTTATTCACGTTTTATGCAACAATAGGAGTAAGTTGGATGGGATGTTTTTCAGTTTTATGTACAATTTATAAAAAAAATGGGGAAATTAGCTAAAAAGATAATTTGTATTGACAAAGAGTAATTAAAAAAAAATTACATTCCAATGGAAAAGCAAATTTTTAATTAAATACATATATGTAAGTACATATGTATACACGCATGTGTATTAAAAAGTAGATTACTCATGTTGGAATTCTAACTAGAGGTGTAGAACTATCGATAGTTTTCAACTATGGTTATGATTTTTCGATAGTTTTAAACAAAGTATATCCACTAACAAGTAGTTCGACTCGTTCCATTCCGTTAGTTTTCATTTGCATCTTGCTTCCAAATTCTTAAAATATTCCATTTTTTTTAAAAATAGATGGTAATAAGAGTTGTGTAGGTAAGAAATTAACAAAATATTGTAAACAAACGAGTGTATCAAAAACATTGAACTGAAATAGAATTAAATTAAGTTAGGTAAAAATTTTGTTATTTTTGTTTTGATAATAACAAAATGTATTTTTTCATTTTTTAAAGTTAAGTAAAAAATTCGAATGTATGAAAGCAAAAGAGTTTGAAATTTTATGTATGAATGTGCACATGCATGTACCTGGTACAGTAGATACACAGTATCAGGTAGTGACATAGAAATAAAATAATTTATAACGAAAAAAAGGTGTATGCAAGTTACGAATTTTGTGTCAAAATTCGTTTAAAAAAATAATTTTATTTCGATTTTAAAATTACTTTTATAATACGTTTTATTTCTTTAAGATTACTTTTACAATACGTTTTATTTCACAACACTAGGTTAAAATTTAATATAACTTTACAATTAAATTTTAAGACTATTCTAAGACTTTAATGCTTAGTTCAATTAATGTCTAAGACTATCTAAGACTAAATTCTTAATCTAAATGTTACCTAATTTATAGTATAAAATTTGCTTATTTAACAAATTTAATTTTATGTTATTTTCCTAACTAAAAATTTCTCACAGTACAGCGTAGACATGTCGTCAGCACTTTTTGTGGGAACATATTTTTGCGTTAAGAAATTCTCATGCTGCAATATGATGTTTGCTGGAAACGTATTTGAACATGTTTTAATATTAATATTCAGCGTAGAAGAATTCTCACGATGAAATATGTCTGATGAAACATGTTTGAACTTGTTTTAACATGCCCGCTATTTGATCCCTCGTTAACTCTTCCCCCTCTAAAGATCTACGTCCCGTAGATCAACGTTGAGTTTGGTAAGATTAGTAGCTAAGTCCTTAGGGGTGATCTCTGCTACGAATGTCCTTTCTGTTTGTGTCTTTTTCTTCTTGAAAATTATTATCGCTATTATAATTAGAACTACCGCAATGGTGATAACTGAGTTGATTGATGTTGTGATATTGTTTGACGTGGCTAGTTGCTGCACCTTTCTTATATTGTTCTGTTGTAAATCATGAAGATACTCCAAATTGAGTTTCCTATTTGCCTGGGTTAGATTTGTTTGAAGGAACGCTGGTAGTACCTCTGGAGATCTTACTTCGTTGTTGGTGAACGTAATTCCCTTAATGCGTATAGTATCGTTGGAATATTGTAGGAGAAAACTTCCTGAGAGCTTCCTTGCAGTAGAGGTGGTTGTAACATCTCCATGGAAATTGGATAAGAAGATCATATTCTTGGTAATTTCCTCTATTATTTCTTTCCCATTGTATTGAAAATCACATCTTGCATTAAATCCCCTGATGAGTTGCGTTACGCAATGTCCGGGTTGCAACGCTGTCAGTCTGTTTTTCTTGCAAATGGTAACATCATTAAAGTTTTCACACTTGCCTATTACGCCATAGATTTCCTCGTTAACGAGCAGTTCTTCGTACTCCAGATATACCTGACTCTCGTTTCTAATAGTTGGTTTGATCAAAATATGGTCGTATAAACGCTCGTCTGCTTTTGGTAGTGAAATTACGTAAAGGATTGTAAGACCATTAGTTATTACTTTTGGTTCAGCGTATTCGATTGCTTCAATGTCGTTAGAATATGGTAGAGTGTTAACCTCCTTCAGTATGTTAAGAATTTCATCACTACTCAGCAAGTTTGTATTGACGATTTTTTGCTTCGCGAGTTCAATTGCAAGGATGATTTCGTTAATAGCTTCCTTGATGATTACAAGCTTGTTAAATACCATCTGTTCGAATCTATGATCATTGGTATTGCCCAGTTGTTTTAGTATCTTATTGTACCGTTCCATGAGTTTGTTTGTCACTGACATTATTTCACTGTTTATTCTGTACTGTTGGTTGCTATTATAGGTCAGCTGATTCTGGTTTTGGAGTATAGTTTCCCAGTCAGTGGCGTCTGGTGTGCCTGCTAACCATTTCCAGGCTGTTCCAATCCAATTGATGGATCTCCGAGATCTTTTAGTTCCTCGAATTCTGGCTATAGATTCCATTATCTGGTCAACTTGATATTGCAGCTGTGGCTTGATGGTGCTAGAATCATTGACGTTATTCACCAATGGTATTAATTCTCGCAATATTTCATCGTAATTTTTGAGGTTTATTGTGTGGATCAGGTTAAAACTTCCATTTAGTATGCGGGCTTCTCCCAATTTAAGTGTGGCTATTGTGTCTGTAACCTCGAAAATTTTGAGTGAGGCTGCCGTCATATAACATCTGAAAAATAAAAAGGTTTTAGTTAGGGGTGTTTTTGATGTGGGATTTATGAATCCGTTTTCCCGATATTGTAGTGATGGTAGCTTTGTTGTTTTTCAACACTGTTTCTTTTCTGTATATAGGTTTATGCTTAGATTTTATCTGTTTATCTTTTACATAGATCATTTGACCCTTTTTGTAGTCAGTGGGTTCATTTCTTTTTTTGTTCTCCCGATTGAGCTTTATTTGCTGCGAGCGTTGGATTTGCTGCGTAAGATCGCTATGTATTTTTTCTCTGATATTGAGTAAATTCTGATAGTTGACGCGAGAAGTTCTTCCGTAGAATATATCGGCAGGTTTCTTCTTTGTTACTGAGTGGTATGTGTTGTTGTATCGATCTACTGCAATTGTAATTAGCTCCTTATGTGACAGTTGGGGATGCTCTTTTCGTAGACACCTAATGATTTCCAAAATCGTTGAGTGAGCTCTTTCAATAGTTCCATTTACTTCACTCTTCTGAGATGGAGTATTGTACATTTTTATTCCTAGTGCCTTGATGTAAGTTGACACAATAGGACTGATTATTCCGCCTTCATTATCTGTGACAATTATTTCCGGTACGGTGAAATAATGAAGTACCTTTGTGAGTTTGTCTCTGAGATGTAATGCTGATTTATCTTTAATTCCAAAGAATTTGACAAACTTGGAGAATTTGTCTATACAAGTGATATACTTTTCACCCTGTATTTCCATTATGTCTAAATGAAGTATCTGCGTAGGATACTCAGGAATGGGCGTGGGTTGAAGCTGTGGGCGGAGTGGATGTCTATCATATTTATTACAGTTGCATATTTCACACACCTTGATATACTCCCTGATGAGTCTGTTCATGGAAGGGAAGTAATATTTTTCCATTATCTGTTCCCGGTTTTCTACAGAACTCCTATGTGCTCTTTTGTGTTCTTTTTCAATTATGTTGAGCTGTCTTTCTTCGTTCGCGACATCTTCTACCATTCTTTGTGTAATTCTAATCTTAAAATTACTGAAGCATTCCTTGTAAATTTCATTAAGCATACTTAGATATTCTTCGGGTATCTTGATCCCATTAATAATGGTAGGATTGAGCCTTTGTTTCAGCGCAGTTATGAGTTCCTGGCGTGTTATGTTTGGCATTCCAATGGTGAATCTTCGATATCCTGGATGAGGTTCCTCATAGGCTGTGATATCTTTGCTGCGTTTGATGATTATTTGAGTTTTAAAGACGTTAATCGGAGCTTCGCAATGTGGAATAAGATCACTACTGTCTTCGTCACAACTATGGGCTGTCTCTGTGGAGCTAGTTGATAGTGAATTGATTTCAGTCGGCAGCCTTGATAGAGCGTCGGCCACTACATTGGTCTTACCAGGCCGGTAGACTAGCTCGTGATTATATTCTTCAATTCGAGCTTTCCATCTTTTGAGCTTCGCATTGTAATTGCGGTTGCCTAGAGCAAATGTGAGAGGCTGATGGTCTGTCAGTATTTTGATTTTTCTTGCCCCATACAGATAGTTGCGCAGGTTATCAAGTGCCCATACGATGGCTAGCATCTCCTTCTCATTAGTAGCGTAGCCTTCTTCTGTCTTGTTTAACGATCTAGAGATGTACGTAATAGGCCTATCCTTTCCTATCTCGCCTTGAGATAAGACAGCACCAATCGCTTGATTCGACGCATCTGTGGTCAGTATAAACGTGCTCTCGAAATCCGGAAAGATGAGAACTTCAGATGACATTAGTAGCTTTTTCAAATTATCAAATGCTTTTAGTTCTGCTTGGTTTAGTTTTACTATCACCCGTTTGGACTGATTGGCTTTTATTTGCGCATTGTTACCTCTTGTCAAGTTCGTTAGAGGTTTTGCAATTTTGGCAAAATCTTTGATGAATCGCCTGTAGTAAGATGTTAGTCCTAGGAATGACTTGAGTTCTTTAAGATTTGTTGGTGGTTTAATTTGTCTGATGGCTTCGACCTTTTTGGGATCCGGTTTTATTCCTTCGTGAGTAATCAGGTGTCCCAAAAATTCCACTTCTGTCTTGAAAAAATGGGTTTTTTCCAGGTTAACCCTTAGATTTGCCTTTTCTAATGTAGAGAACACTTCCTCGATATTTGTTAGATGTTGTTCTTCGGTTTCTCCAAAAATGATGACATCGTCTATATAGACGTAGCAGCGCTTTCCTATGTGTTGCTTTAGCACGTCGTCTATCATTCGCTGGAATATGGCCGGTGCATTCCTCAAGCCAAAGGGTAGTCGAGTAAACTCGTACTTCCCATTCATAGTGGAGAATGCTGTTTTGGGTATATCTTTTTCCGACATTTTGATTTGGTGGAACCCGGATGTGAGGTCAATAGTTGTAAAAAACCTAGCTTTTCCCAAACTTGAAAGCGTGTTGGTGATGTCGGGAATCGGGTACGTGTCTGGAATGGTTACAGCATTTAATCTTTTGAAGTCGATCACCATTCGGTATTTCTTAGT